AATCCAAGTCTTACTTTCAAAGCATACACACTTAGTCTCAACTAGGGAATCAACAGAAGCAGAAGCGATTTTTTTCCCCCTTCTTGACATCTGGCTTGCGATTGGCTGGAAGGGGGTCAGCTGACTTTGTCATTTTGTCTGTCCTGGATTGGAGCCGTCCCTATAACCATCTAGTTCCGACTACAAACTGGAGACAGAAATAAATATTAAAGAAATCATAGCCCGACCAGGTAAAGGCAAAGGGATGAATTCCTACTTCACTAACCCTTCCTTATCCTGCCACCTCGCCGGGGGCCAGGAAGTCCTTCCCAACGTCGCCCTCAATTCCACCGCCTATGATCCAGTGAGGCATTTCTCGACCTATGGAGCAGCCGTTGCCCAGAACCGGATCTACTCGACTCCCTTTTATTCGCCACAGGAGAATGTCGTATTCAGTTCCAGCCGGGGGCCGTATGACTATGGATCTAATTCCTTTTACCAGGAGAAAGACATGCTTTCAAACTGCAGACAAAACACCTTAGGACATAACACACAGACCTCAATCGCTCAGGATTTTAGTTCTGAGCAGGGCAGGACTGCGCCCCAGGACCAGAAAGCCAGTATCCAGATTTACCCCTGGATGCAGCGAATGAATTCGCACAGTGGTGAGTTTTACAGCTCCAAGATATAAATTAAATAAACTGAACTGGCTTTATGACCGGCTTCCCTAGAAGAACGGGCGGAGAGAGTTTTTTATGGCCCCATAAAAACAATCACGCTCTCGTCTCCTCCGTTGCCGAGACAGGGCCCCCGCTTCTGCCCCCTCTGCTCGCCTCCCGCGCTGGCTCACAGGGGCCTGGCCCCCTCGGCCCCTGACGGATTGGAGGGCTCCAAGACGAGCTGAGGGGGCAGGAACAGGGCAGGGGCTGAGGGGAGGGGGCACAGGGCAGAGGAGCCCCCCAAAGTCGAGTTAGGCTGAAGAGAAGGGAGGGGAGGGAGGGAGAGCGAAAAGGCAGAGAAGTGGGGGAGAACTTTCCAAAGAACTAGGGTGCCTGGTAAAGTGGGGGAAAGCCCCATCCTTAGAGAAATGGGGAGCCCTTTTCCCCAGTATTGGAGATTTTTTCAAAAAAAATTCACCTTTTAGATTGTCAGCTCGCTGCCTGAGGGTTGTTTTTTTTTTTTTGCCCCGCCCCACCTCCCCATCTTTCTTTGGGACACACATATCCCACCCTATGGGAGCGCTGCATGAAGTGGGGTTCTGGCTGTACCCCCCAGTGGGGGTGGGGCAGAGCAAAAGGGAGCAGGCTAGAGCCCCCCGGAGGGGGCTCAGTAGCTGTTGGCCAAGTTGAGAGAGAGAGAGAGAGAGAGAGAAAGAGAGAGGGAGAGAGAGAGAGAGAGAGTGTCAGAGTCAGGACTTTTTCTGCTAGGCTAAACGGTGAGCGCACGGCGCCTTGCTGATTGCTTTGAGTGTGTTTTGTGCCCGGATCTCTAGGGGTCGGTTACGGAGCGGACCGGAGGCGCGGCCGCCAGATCTACTCGCGGTACCAGACTCTGGAACTGGAGAAGGAATTTCACTTCAATCGCTACCTAACGCGGCGCCGGCGCATCGAGATCGCCAACGCGCTCTGCCTGACCGAACGACAGATCAAAATCTGGTTCCAGAACCGCCGGATGAAGTGGAAAAAAGAATCTAATCTCACGTCCACGCTCTCGGGGGGCGGCGGAGGGGCTGCGGCTGACAGCCTGGGCGGGAAGGAGGAAAAGCGGGAAGAGACAGAAGAGGAGAAGCAGAAAGAGTGACCAAGTGCCACCCCCTTCCCTCTTTCTCCCTTGCTCACCCCAACTCTCCCCCCCCTCCACACACTCTGTATTTATCACTGGCACAAATGATATGTTTCGACTCCCTGAAACAAAAGTAAGGAGTCAGACATGGACCTGAAAAATCAGCCCTGGACCCCCTCCCTTCCCTTCCCTGCACAACTCTTCTTGCGCCTTCTCCTAGCTCCCTTGCTAGCTCGTGTTTTCTTTTTTTTTTTTCTTCCCCCGGCTTGGCTTGTCCGCAGGCCCTTTCCCCAACCCAGGCCTTGGGGGCCCAGTCCCTGAACCTCACTTCAGACTCCACAGATTTCCCTCCAAATGGAGGACTTGTACCGCCCCCCTCCATACTCCCTGGATGCCTTCCCCCCGCCCCCCACTTCATCCGTGCGCTGAGAAGCCAGCTTCTGGGCCTGGGCCTCCATTCTGGGGCCTCAGGGCCTGGCCTGGTGAGCCAGGGAAGGCAGGAGGCCCAAGGAGGGGGCTGCCTTGGCCCCACAGTCACCCCCCAGGGCCTCCCCTGTAACCTCTATCCGGGTCCCCCCTTTACCCCAGCAAATGCCCAGCCCAGGCAAATTGTATTTAAAAGATTCCTCGGGGTCATTATGGCATATTACAAACTGTGACCGTTTCTGTGTGAATATTTTTAGCTGTATTTGTGGTCTCTGTATTTATATTTATGTTTAGCACCGTCAGTGTTCCAATCTCATTTTAAAAAAAGGAAAAAAAAGAGGGAAAAACTACCAAAAAAAAAAAAAGGAGAAAAAAAAGGTGAATGACGTTTGTTTAGCCAGTAGGAGAAAATAAATGAATAAATAAGTCCCTTCGTGTTACCCTCCTGTATAAATCCGATCTCTGGATCCGTTCTCGAATATTTAATAAAATTGATATTATTTTTAAAAGTTTATATCTGCATTTCTGTTCCTTCGTTCCCCCGCCGGCCTGGAGCAAGGCTCCAAGTGCTCTTGCGTCTGCCCGCCGCCTGCGATCCTCAATACTGTGCGCTCGCCTTTCCCTGGAACCGAGCTGGGCCTTGGGGTCGCCTTTCCCTGGAACCGAGCTGGGCCTGGGGGTCGCTCTAGGGGGCTGGGCGGTCTCTCTGGGGTGCCGAACAGCAAGTCAAGCACACCCCGGGGCCAAAAATCAAGCCTCTTAGGTTTTCGTTGGGGACGGGGCGGGGGGTGGGGAGGTGGGGGGGCGGAACCCGGTTTAGTCGAGTTGTGCTCCAAGCCACACACAGGCCTTTTCTTCCTGCCTGTGACCGCCTGCCTGGAGTCCTCAGCTTCTGAACCCTGAGCCCCAAACGACCAGGAAAGCAGCACCAACGAGGCACCAGAGGTACCCTCCCCTGCCCACTCCCAGGGGTGTGGGGAGGGGGACGTTCAGCCAGACCGGCGAGTGTCCAGCCAGCTCCAAGCCGGCTGTTGCGAAACGTGGCGGAGACGGAGAGCTGAGGGACGCAGAAGACCGCCGTCCTTCCGCAGGGATTGAGCGATTCAAGGACATCTCGAAAAAGAAAGCCTGGAAACTGATCTCTCGCCTGCGCTGGGACTCCTAACGTGGCCAAGACGAAATTCCTTCTTCTTTCCTTACAACCCCAGCCAGTCTGATTCCTTCCTCCCCCCCCCCTCCCCAAATCTTTTGGATGAAGAGCTCAGCAGGACTCTGACCATTTCTCACTTCTAGCTTTCTCGATCTCGAGTTCCTCCAGAGAAACCTGAGTGGGCCTAAGGGACAAGTAATGAGGGATCTCCCTAAGCGAGGGAAAAAAACATTCCACCAGAGTTTTCCAGACTCTCAGAGCATCACCATTGCCCCCTCCAGTGCTTCCATCAGCAAGGAGGGGGGCTTCTCCTGGCAGAGGCAGTGATTTCCTGGGGAGAAGCAAGCAGGAAAGTGTAAAATTTGAAACTAGGAAAAGAAGACTTAAGAGTTGTAGAGACCCTGGCCCAAAACTGCAGGGATTGTCCTAGATCCAAGCCTACCCACTGCCCCATCTCTATGCTTGCAAAATTGCTTTCCTGTGGGCTTTTTTGGCTTTTGGTTCCTAGAAAGCCTAATCCATAGGCCTCTTCCACCCAAAGGGCATAAACAGACCTTTTCCTCTGCATTATTCACAATATTTTGCCTTCAGGTAGCTTCTATCTTGAATCTCAAATATCTGGCATCTATCCCACGTGAGGATCACACACACACACACACACACACACACACACACATACACACACAGGGCTATAGAGGAATCCTCCAGCCCATTGTGCCTGGTTCTACACACACACACACACACACACACACACACACACACACACACTTGCCCCATTGTCATTTAAGTCGGGGGCTGGCAGCTCCACTTGGCTCCTCATCTCCAAACACATCCTAGAAAGTACCCAGCATTCTCCACGTCATGACTTCCCTATTTAGTTCTGTCCACCCAAGTTCTGTCCTTCCAGTCTAGTTCAGTCCATTTCCTTGGTCATCCCATCTGCCTCTCCAGAAGTTGAAGTCCACTTTCCCACGTGGATAGACACCTCCTCCCACGTGGGTCCTTGAGACTTCCCAGCCAAGAGACCTTGTCCTTTGGTTTGGAGAACCAGAGATAAGCCTCCTTGGTTCTCCGGCCTGGGGAGGAGACACCCTACCTTAATTCCCTATCCTTGGTCGCCTTTTGAAGTTTGAAAGGCTCTGAAGGCAGGGAGGACAGGACCACTACCAAAAGTACTTCAGTGCATCCTAAATAGGGCTTTGTCTCCTCTTCCCCCCAATTTAAATAGAATTAGAAAAGCCAGCTCAAGGGTTTGTTTCAGCAACAACCAGTTAGTTTCTCTACAGGACAGAAAAATCCAGCAGCCTGAAGGCGAACCGCAGCATCAGAATGCAATTCCTTCAAGTAAGCACCAGGTGTCGCTGTGGACTCGTTATCCCGGCTACCCCCCAATTCCAAGAACCATTTTTTTTTTCCCTCCCCCTTCCCTCTCTTTTTCTCTCACTCCCTCTCCCCCTTGGTTGGGCTTTGCCAACATATCAAGATGCGTTTCGCCGGCTTCCATCACTAACCTCCCGGAGGTCATCAAGCCAAATTTATGAGTGGCCGCTCAAGTCACGTGACTCTATTTAAGGCTCCCTTATTTGGGAAGAGCGCATAGGATAAAGAAAGAGATATCTCCACCTATAAATTGTGCACTTTGGAGAACAAAAAAACCCCCTCAACTTCAAAGAGTCACAAATCACCCTTAATCAAAAAGGGTGCAGAAATTTTTTTTGGGCCCTCCCCGCCATGAGCTCCTACGTAGCCAATTCATTCTATAAGCAGAGCCCCAATATCCCTGCCTATAACATGCAAACTTGTGGGAACTATGGATCGGCCTCAGAGGTGCAGGCATCCAGGTACTGCTACGGCGGATTGGACTTAAGCATCACTTTCCCACCGCCTGCGCCTTCCAACTCTCTCCACGGGGTAGACATGGCTGCCAACCCCCGGGCTCACCCCGACCGCCCCGCCTGCAGCGCCGCAGCCGCTCCGGGACACGCTCTGGGCAGAGACGAAGCGGCTCCTCTGAACCCCGGGATGTACAGTCAGAAGGCGGCTCGCCCAGCGCTGGAGGAGCGAGCTAAGAGCAGTGGGGAGATCAAAGAGGAACAGGCGCAGACAGGGCAGCCCGCCGGACTGAGCCAGCCACCGGCCCCGCCACAGATTTACCCGTGGATGACCAAACTGCACATGAGCCACGGTAAACTTTAGGACTTCATTTTGCGCGCTCGGGTCCGCCTGGGTTTTATAGGCCATGCGGGGCAAATAAAGAAAAAAAAACCTGCGGCCATAAATTTTACGATCCAGGCATCAATGGCTCGTAAAACTGTCCACTAAAAGGCTTAGAGGCTGTGTGCGCCCAAATTTACGACGACATAATTGGATCATAGGAACAAAACGTGTATAAAAGGCAATATTCAATTTTTTGGGGGGGAGATAGAGAGAGAGCGAGGGAGGGAGTTAAAAAAATAGAGGGATCTGAAGGGTGAGGAGAGAGGGGCTCCGAACGGGGATTCCCCCCCGCGGTACCCTCCCTCCCTCCCCTGCGGAGCCGGCTCGGCCGGTGCTCCGAGCTCCGGAGGATTCCTGCGACTCAGGGAGGGGCGGGAGGGGGGTCCCCGGTGCTCGGATCTCGAGGGTGCTTATTGTTCGGTCCGAGCCTGGGTCTCCCTCTTCCCCCCACCCCCACTCAGCCCCCCCCCTCCGGCTTGCTGAGTGAAGGCTGCGGTGGAAAGTTTCCTGCCTAGGCGGAGGCGCCTCTCGCGGGGCTAGGCTGGGTGGGCCCCGCTTGTCTGCGGCCCTCTGGGCCTGTCCTGTGGCTCTGGCTTCCTTTCCCTCCCGGCTGCGGGGCGGATGGGAGGCACTGGAGCCCGGGGTGGGATGTTGGGGTGCTGCACGCTCTTCACCCCCCTTCCTGGCATTGTGTGTGTTTGGGGGGGGGATTTCTGTTCCAGAGACGGACGGCAAGCGTTCCCGAACCAGTTACACGCGCTACCAGACTCTGGAACTCGAGAAAGAATTCCACTTTAACCGCTACCTCACTCGCCGCAGGCGTATAGAGATCGCCAACAACCTGTGTCTCAACGAGAGACAGATCAAGATCTGGTTCCAGAACCGCAGGATGAAGTGGAAGAAAGATTCCAAAATGAAAAGCAAAGAGGCTCTTTGAGGCCGCAGGAAGGAAGGCCCGCCCGCCCGCCCGCAGAGAGAACCCCCAACCCCTAAACCCCCAAGTCGGCTTTTGCTCCCTGCGCCTTTCCTTTTCGATTTTCCTTTCTGTATTTTGGAGGTGAAGGCTGGAGCCTTGGCTCCTGGGCCTCACAGACAAAAAGCAATTCCCCCCCCCCCCCTTGGCATTCCGTATCCCCACTGACCCAGGGTTCCCACGGGGCTGCCCGAACTGTCCATTTCCCATCCACTCCACTGGGCACTGGAGGAGGGGGCCCAGGGCATGTGTTGCAGGACTTGCCCAGGGGTCTGCAGGGCACGGTAGGCTGGTACCAAACGAACCTCAGCCTCATCCGCCTACTCTGGCACCTAACCCTGCTCTGCCGGGGCCAGAGTTAAGGTGGGTCTGGTCAGTCACAGGCCCTTCACCCCGACCTCACCCTCTCCTTTGTTTCTGGCTAGGCGGACAGGGCAGCTGCAACCTGGTGAGCGAGTGGTTGTACCTGGCAGAGTCTATGGCCTGATTTGGGGGGTACTTATAGTAACTAAAGTCCTTCACTTATTAAGAATTTGCATACGAAAGGGGGAGGTGAGTAGATGTGGGCCTAGGCCCTGGAGCTTCCCTATGCTGTCTTAACCTTCTTCTCACCCCCCCCCAAAAAACCCCAGGGAACCTCCCCAATCAATGCCTGCTGCATGCCCTCTCAGGTTCTGAGCCCCAGCCTACTAGCTAATTCAACTATTGGGGTTTCCTGCCATTGGACCCCCCCAGCAAATGGTTCTCAAGGCTCCTTGCTATCCCATATTTCCTGCCATGACTTTCTTGCCCTCCTGACCTATTGCTGTTGCCCAACTATTTATTGACTCCTAGTCTTTCCTGAAACTATATTTTGTCATATCAAATAAAAGAGAGAACAGGACTAAAAGATGCAGTGGCTCCTGTCTGTTCAGGGCACGTATCGTGGTAAAAGGTGTCTAAGTGGGACATGAGGTTGTAGGAGAAGACCACGCCTGGCCTCTAAGACTTCTCTTTTTAAAAATTGAGGTACTTCTTTAGGCAGTGAAAATTAGTTCGTTTCCTGATTTCTTAGCTCTAAAAAGGGCCTTTGAGAGGGAAAGAAGAACACCTGGGCCTCCTGCACAGATTTTCCCATGCTGTAGCTGTCTAAGACATTCGGGCCTGGGCACTTGATTCTCGCATTTGCTGACTGAATGTAAAGCTTCTACCCTAGCAGTAGATCCTACTCTATGCCAGAGCTAATGAGTAGGGACCAGTGGCTCCGCCGTGCTCAGAGTCAGGCCCTTCAGGCTTCTGAAGGTCCTGTCTGGAGCTAATTGGTCTCTGGGGGGGCCTTACTGGACATAGGAGGGTGACCCTTTCAATCTAAGGATGCCCTGCTTGGTCAAGAGGTGCTGGGGGAGTTGGCGAAGGTGTACTTCAGCTTTCTCATGACCTGGGAAAGAAGGATTCTGGAAATGCAGTTGCAGTGTGCACCTGCCTGGTAGAAAATCTTCGGACTGTTTAATCTGCGTTCGAGAGTGTAAAGTGATGCAGGACAATTAACTAAGTTACGAGCTGGCTAGTCCAGGGCTGGAGTCCTGTCTGTTTGCTATCATTTATCTCAGTCTCTGAGATTTTTGTATGGAGGAGGAGAGTGGCCTTACAGGGAGGGGGAAAGACAGCTAATTCAGGTGGTGCCTGAGGCTGGCTTAGGCCTACACTCTGCTTCTGCTCCTATCCGGTCTCCTGGGATGAGCTGGGAGAGGAAGTACTTTACAGGAGAAACAAATGTGGGAAGGGTCCATAAAACTTTACAGCATTTCCTCTCCCGCCTCTCACAATGGAGTGATTTCCTGGAGTCAAGCCTAGGCCCCCCACATTGGTGGAGTCAGTGTTTGAGAGCTAGACTGGGAGCTGGCCTAGCAGCTAAGAGGGAAAAGGAACAGAGTGACTCTGGAGAGGGGCAGGGACAATATTTATGATTATTAATGCTGATGCTCCTTGGATTTATTGTAAGGAATGGTTTTGCTGTATCCCACTGCCTAAGCTATCCAGCTTTTTAATTTTTTTAGAAGATGGGTGAGCCTTTCCTCACCCCATATTTAGCACATAGGAGGTCTGACCAAGTATTTACTGATGCTCCCATGACTTCTTCCCTTCCCCACTCTCACACTGCACTCAGGACAAGTTAGGGTGCGTGCAACATCTCTACTCAACATGTGCACCACAGGGACGATCCAGTTCCAGCTCCTTCTTTTCCTCTCTCTTTTCTCTCTCCCTCCGTCCCTCCCTCCCTCCCCCCCCTCTCTGAAATAAAATGTGTAATTTTCTTCAGGGAGTTATTTTAATTTTTTTTTCTCCATGCCGAGTAAAACTATTGGGGGAGCAGTGAAGCATGAAGAAGCACTCGCGTCTCTGATGGGTAACAGTTAAGTAAAGAGGAGACTATGTCACCCGCACTCACCCACTCCAACCTCCCAAGCTGTGGAGTCTGTGTGCTTCCTCCCCAGGGAACAAGCAGCAGGGAGAACCCAGAGGCTTTGCCTGGACTGGGGCAATGTTGGTATGACCCAGCAAGGTGCATCAGCCCCTGCTATACATGTGTGCAGTGCATGCATGCATGCATGCATACACTGACTGCTTCCTCTCAGCAGGGCCTGGGCCTCTCCTTCCCTGGAGGAGTAGAAGGAAAGAAGGACTGACTCAGCTTGGCCAGGCTTGGGGAGCCACAAGCCCGCCCGCTCCGCTGCGGGTCCTGCCTACTCTCCTCCCTCCTGTCTGTCAGTCTGCAGGCCCGAGCCTCAGCTTTAGTGTTGCTGCCCATGCTGGCAGCAGTAACCGAGCCAGAGGCCTCCGACCTTCTCTCCTGTGTTGGGGAAGGTAAAGCCCAGACCCTTGCTTTTTCCCTGAACAGAAGCTTCTGGGGGTAATGGACCGTCTAGGCAGCTTCCTGAAGCGATCTCCAAGGACCAGGGCTTGCCATTGCTCTGGGGAGTTAAGTGGAGGGGCTTCTGGCTCCCAAAAGGAGCCGCCCCTGGAGCCAGTTTCTCCACTTTGCCCTGGAACCCACCCATGCTGGCAGCAAGAAAGAAGGGGGAAGAAGCGTGACTTACCTTCCCGGGGGAGTGGGAAGAGGGGACACGGCCCACTCTGAGCAATTAGAGGAGAGAGGAGGAAAAAAAAAATAGGAAGAAAAAAAATATCAACACGACCTGGAAGGCGACAGGTCCTTATGGAAATAAGTGAGTAAGTAAATAAATAAATAAGGATCCACCCTCTCCCCCCCTCCCGACCCTGCAAGGGGGTGGGGGTGGGGCAAAGGAGCAGCATGAGGGCTTTTTAGTGTAACTGAGCATTAGAGAAATAGGCGCAGCTTCCATGTGAATTTAGGAGTTTGAAACTTTTGGAGGTTATTTATGTGAATGGCCCGAAGGCAAGCCCATGAGTGGCTCTTGGGGGACCACGTGATGTCATTAAACCAAGTTTTATGGTGTAGGGAGAGCTGACAAACCCACAATATATTTACATCATATATAATCTTAACTGTCCAGCCACGCAGCTGCTGGTGAGGTTTAATGCTAGGACAGAGGGCCTGGCAGTTAGAGGGGATTACGGCGCTGGGGATGATGGTGAAAGAGGTTACATCTTCGCAAATGAATCCCAGGCGAAATCTGTAAGTTAATTCTCTCTCTCCTCGCTCTCTGTGTCTCAGACCCTTTCTCCTATTTGCCTAACTCCCTCCTCTCCATACCAGAAATAAGGCTATTTCCAGTCATTAAGAGTGGGGGAGAAAAGGCCTCCCCAGGCTTCCTCAGGCTGGGTTGGGAAAAGAGAGGAAGCCGCTGGCAAGTAGGAAAAATGGGGAGCTAGTCTCTCCAAACCAGGCCTCCCTTCTCTATCCCTCATTCCCTCGGCCTGCAAGTTAATTGGGGTAGAAGGTGGCCTTGGTTCTTTACAGTTTTATAAGCTCTTCCTGCCTCTCTCTCATTCGGGAAGAAAGCCAGTGACACCAACATGGGTGTTGGGTGTTTGTAGGAGTGTGTAAACTCTAAATACAAGCACAAAGGGCCTCTAGGGTCCACTATTCCAGGGAGGGGCCAGTTCAGCCTTTGGCCAGTTGCCCAGAGTCCAGACAAAGTGGGAAGCTGGGAAGAAAGGCAGGGAAGGAAGGCTCTGAGCTTTCCTTCAGAAGGCTCCTTCTGAGCCCCCTGCCTGATGCCTGGACTGGCTCCAAAATATATTCCCCTGCCTCGCCACCAGGCTGAGGTAGGCAGCTGTCCCAGCCTCCCAAGTCGGGTCTTAGTCAGCCTGGGGCTATGTCCCCCAATTCTAGTTTCTGGGATTTTGTTCAGGTGAAGGCCATGAGGCCTGGAGATATCTCTGAGAGTGTGTGTCGGGGGAGGGGATGTGATGTGCGTTGGATGTGGTGGTGGGGAGGGGACAATGTCTGTGGAGCTGGGAAGCTCCTAGCCCAGAAGATGGAGCTAGCAGGGGCTCTGGTCTGGGCACTGTACACAAGGACCAATCTTCAAGAGAGACTCCCTTCAGGTTTCTAGAAAGGAGAAGAGGCAGTAGACATGGAAGGCACGTGTGTCCTCCACACCTGCGAGTGTGCACCCCCTCCCAGTGCAATGCTGGGAGCTAAGCCAGGAAAATGACAACGTGTGAACTCAGGTTTTTCTATGTGCCTGTGAACACAGGGTTTTTTCTTTTTTCTTCCTTCCTTCCTTCCTTCCTTCCTTCCTTCCTTCCTTCCTTCCTTCCTTCCTTCCTTCCTTCCTTTCTCCTTTCTTTCTTTCTTTCTAAAGCAGGGCTAAAGATCTGCAGATCTCAGGAGAAAGTGGAGGTGAACAGAGGGGAAAATCTTTCCAAAAGCTCTGTGAGTGTCTGTGTGTGTGTGTGTGTGTGTGTGTGTGTCTGTGTGTAGGGGGAGAAATCTGGGCACAGGTTTTGTGGAGAGGTACTACTGGGGAGAGAAAAGGAAATAGTATTAACACCGCCCAGGTAGTCCAAGCGATTAGGGAAGAGGGAAACTCAGGGAAGGGTAAATAGCCAACACAGATTCTGTGAAGACAGAGGCCCCAAAACACAGGGAGTTCAAGCCAAGCTCCAACTTTGCTCTAGACACCCAACATGGAGGACTCTCCTGTGCCTTCTTTCAGTACCTGGATCTTCTAGCAAAAAAAGGGGGCCTCTAAACCCCTATCCCTACCCCTTTATTTGTCAGCAAATGGATTCCGGAGGATTCTCTTCCCAGAGGATTCTCTTCAAGAGCTCATTCAGGAAGTTAACTCTTAGGATTTCCCCTCCTTCTTATTCACTCTCCTCCACTCTCTCCACTAGTTTGTGATTTTTTTTTAAGGGTTTGTGGAAAATTTCAGACTCAAGATGGGAGCTTCCCTTGGTCTATAATTTGACTCTTCCCCTCCTTCTGGCCTCCCTAGGGCACTACCGCAGTCTGATAGTCTTTAAGGAAGAAATTAACCCCAGCCAAAGCCCCATTCCCAGGCAAGACTGCACTGCCCTCTTTGACCCCAGCGAAATCTCAGTCCCAATTCGTTTCCTTTCTCTCTATATGAGGGGTGTTTCTATGTTTTACAGATTTTTACATTGCTTCAATACTTTTTCACCCTCCTTTCCAGTCTTTGGG